CAACAATAACAACAACAACAATAACAACAACAACAATAGCAACAATAACAATAGCAACAATAACAATAATAACAACATCAGCAACAACAGCAACAACGACAGTAAGAACGAATTCAGCAGCAATCCCGAATATTAATCCTGAAACTGCCGTTTCTTTTGTACATCGGGCCGCGTGACATCCATTTGGAAACATTCATAACATGCTGGTAAACTTATCCATATTTTTGTTACAAAGTTGTTTTCTCCGAGAAATTAATTGTTAGCTAATTTCATATCTTTTAATACCAATACTTCGATATATTATTACCCACTTAAAGATCTGATCTGGAAGACAGTTTCATCACCCTATCAAGTCATCTCAAGGCACAGTTATACTTTTCGTCTGTTGCACTATTTTTCTTGCAATCTTTTTAATTTCATTTCAAATCGTTTTATTTTCTTGCGCAAAAAACATCTTTTTCTTGATCGAGACCCAAAAAATAGCTTTGAAATATTGAATGCTTCGTTGGTTGTTCAAATTGAATAATGATCATAAGGAGATCGGCCCTAGAATTTATATCTTATTTTCAAATTATCATTTCCAACCAGTAGTCATTTTCAAATAAGTATCTCATTAGTGTCCATAACACTGGTAACTATTCTCTACATATTCGACGTGATTTTGCATTCTAATTCTTATCTGACACTTTTTTATTTTAATCTGATGTAAAAAATATTTTCGTCATTTCATTTCTCCAATAATCAGATATAATCTGTCCAAAATTTATTTTTTAAAAACATTTTCAATCCTAAATACTTGTTTTGTAGCGAAATATTTGTAGGTTTATTACCAAACTAATTCGATCTAAGATAATTAATTAGAAATAGTTAAAGTCAGTTACTTAATAAATATGGATTATACGAATGGATAAAACCATTCATACTGAATAAATTTATCCGATCTCAGTCTGATTCATTTTATGGAGAAACGGATTAAAGAAAGAAATTTGAAGTTGTACTTATAAAATACATTGCGAAAGCGGCCCTTACCTTAATTGATATTAATTTGCATTTGCTGCTTTCTTTCCATCATTGATATCTAACAATGAACTTTTATCTATTGTTCATAGTTGGAACACCTATTTTTTTAGCACTAAATATTGCAGCAGTCATGAATAACTTTCTGCATCGCTCAAAATTAAGATCTGAACGTAAGTTGGGGTGGAAATTGGTTCCGGGGATATGTTCCTTGTCTTCCTCCTCTTCTACCTCCTCCACTTTCTTCTCCCACAATATTGCATTTATCCTTTATCTTACATAAATTATCTCTCATCCCCACAGCAACCGGTCTTTTCATTCTAGATCACAATAGTGCACCAGTATGTCGTGCATTAGTGGCCATCATCCAGATGAGCCTTTTGACGAACTTTCCAAAGTGATCTCTTTTTTCTGCAAGCAGTCGAAAATGATCATATTCCTACGTAACTTATCTATCTGGTTGTTTGTCGAATATTTTGGTTTTCCAAGTAAGAATCAAATATAGCCCACAAACAAAAAACCAGTTTCCTATGCATTTTGCGAGGTTGTGAACTAAAGCCTAATTTTTAATGTATCCCATAAAAATTTGAAATTTGGAGTAAACAAAAATTGACCACTATTGTTTGGCTTAATAAGTTCGCAAATGCTCTGTTATGCTCTGTGAGAACAATTGTACTTTAACAAGAGTAACTTAAGATCATTTACTAAAAATAGCTTTAAAACATTTTTTTGTCTATTTTATAGTAGGCGGACTAAATCAGAGTTCTTGATCCATTGTACATTGAAGCATTTTACCACAGTTCATCGTTTAGTTTTTATATTCAGAGAAATAATTTAGTTTAGATAAGGTGGTAACTATGAAATTTATGATGTCAATTAATATTAAAAGTTGTAAAATGTGCACAATAATAATTTGTGTATAAATAGTCATAATAGAAACTTGTGTATTATGGATAACAATAAGAGATTTGAGATGACAATAGATAAAATCTTGTAATGTATCTTTGTTTTAAATATTTTTGCCAGCAGATAATCTTTTCTGGATAACAAAACTGAAGAAAAAGCTTGCTGCATAAATTATTTTTGAATGTGTGTATGAGTAGTCACAATAATAATATAGTAACGCTCTTTTGAAGAAATGGTTAGTACGAATGCGAGAAAGGAACATCGTAACATTGTCGTATCATTGATATTGTAGAAATGTATAAATGTTAAAGTGTAAGTATAATTCGTTTCGTCTCATCTATACGAAAAAATTGACGTGAAATGTTTGCATAAGGATGGGGAGAATGGATGTACCAGGGACGGAGAATGAAATGTGATGGGATCATCTTGCGAAGACTGATATCAGTAATAGGTGTAACGCTACAATAGCATGATGATATCAGTTACTAGAAACATCACCTTAATAACATGACAGCATCACTGTGGAAGATGAACAACTAAATATTCATCTGTAATAAGTTTACAGAATCTTATCAGCTGGAAAAGATATCGCTAAGGACTTTTGATACAGAAGGACACAAGTTTTTCTCCATATACCATAGAACAAAATTTTCTATAGAAAAATGTAAAAACTTGAGCAAATCTAGAATTGTATGAATGACAGTAAATAAACCGTAAGATTGAAGTTGAAATCAACAATAACATTAAATAATTTAATTAACAAATTATTTATGAAATTGTTGCAGTATTAATGACTGAGAGAAAAAGGAAGGAAACGAAAAATCAGAGAGAAAAAAGCTTGTTTATATTACCAAGTTCTTTTTAAAAAATTAAAAAAAATAAGAAAAGCCAGAAATGAGGAATGAGGAGGGTCAGGAATTGAAATATGAAGCAAAAAAGTTAGAAAAAAAAGTGTAGTACAAAGGGTTAAATGAAGAAGATTATTCAGCAATAAATTGATGAATAAGATAATTATGAAATAAGCATTTCCACCTCCGCTTTATATGCTAACTTTCATTTTCGGTATAATTCCATTTTTCGCTATAATTCTGTTCTTTACTTCCATGGAAATATATGTATAACTGGATTTTTAACTAATATCTTTTTTTCAAATGAAACCAAGAATGGATGCAGTTGACGCGATACCTTTTAGCGGATTATTTGAGGAAGTTAATGGAATAGATTAGATAGTTGAATGGCATAAGTATTATATTAAATAGCAATCTCTTTTATTGAATTATACAGTTTAAATAAAGTGCCATAAATCTATGATCTATTTAAATTTTTTTTTGTCATTCCGAGCAATTCGCTTTATTTTGAATCTTGTATTAAAATGTAAATGAGAAATTGTGAAAAGACAGCAAGCAAGATTGATCAGATAAATGTAATAAATGTAATTGGGATAACTTTTCTCTCTCAACAATAGAGAAGCTGAACAATTTTTTGTAAATAGTATCAATCTTACAAGAGTTTTTCTAACATCCTAATTCATTTTAAACAGTTTGAAATACGCAATTTGAAATGAGAACACGGAATGAACAAGATTTCAATTTAATTAAACTTGTTGATTTTCATATTTTTTTAGGAAACATAACTAATTTAATGTATTTTAAGACTATTTTCTACTTTAACTAATTGTGTTGCGCAGTGTACAACCATCAGTAATTCATTATCCACAGGAAATCTCTTGCTGAGTATTTTCTTCATTTTTGCTTTTACAATTCTGAATAATGAATATTTATTAAAGTTAGTAGGGGGAACTGAAATTTTATTAGTTTCATGCTGTAAATTTAGCATTATCAGAGGATCAAAATACTACTTGGAAAATCAAATTTTTCTGTCGTATTGTAACTTAGGGCAAAGTTTTTAGGATTGTACGTATTGTCTTTAAATAGTTGGTGCAATAGCTGCTTGCTTTTTAGATAAAAGATGTTTTGAATCACGCTAAAAACATCTAAATCTTTTTCTTTGTTCTGCAAGTGAAACTTTAATTGCCAAACTTAGTTTTCTGGCTTAATTCATTCGTAGAAATCTGAATTTTTGTTTAAAATCGAATTCAAGGTTTAAAATTGCTCGAGATTTGATGAAGAAGAAATTTTAAGATTTGATTTATACAATATAATAGATAGATCTACAAAATATCTCTACTGTATATTATTTCTTCTGAAAATATTAATTTCCACAAATGGATCTGATGTTACAGATTAAAATACAAAGTGAATTGAATTAAAATATAGAATTAGCATTGAGTTCGGAGGTTGCGTCGTATCTGGCATGAATCATTGATATTGCCAGGGAATGCAAACATGCAAATATAATTATTCACTTTTGCATTGCTTACGCCATATGCATAAAAATTGATGATTCGCAAAATATAAGCTGTATGAGTATATTAATAACAAATGAACAGGTGTAGTTGAGCAGCTTCAGTTTTCAAGGGAATTTTTTTGCTAATTACTTGCGTAATATTTGGATGGAAACGGACGCATCAACGGTGATTTCTAGTTTACAATTGCCTCTCATATATATGTATATGTTCGTCGTCCTTTTCTTCACAATGATCAGTTCTTTTTTAAATAAAATTAGCTTTTTTTTCCTCAAAGAATCTTTTAATTAACTATTCATTTAATTCAGAATATGAGATTAAGTGTCTTTTCAATTCTTTTTGGAAATGCTAACAAAAGATCTTCAAAAGTGAGAACTGTTAACTGGACAGGAGCTTTCAAATGCAGTCTGACAAAAAAAATTCTAATCCAGCTAACAAACTTCGACTAATGCAATTTTTCTTGAACAATAGCTGTTCATTGATACTGTAACACTTACATTCTGAATTGAATATTTTTGAGCAATTTTTAGAGGAAAACTGCCAATTCTAAAATTTTAGAATAATTCTTTAGTAATGCTCCCACTGCAAGTAAAAGGTAGGTGAAGTTAATGCTATAAGTTGTCACAAATTTGTTGGCAATTTTTAGCTGATGTTAACTTATTTTGTGCACCTATAAATCCTGTCATACTGGGTTGCACTACGCAACTATCAACTCAGGTTACTTTCATTTTGTATTGTGCAGCCGTTTCTATATCAGCTTTTTCACTAATTAATGCACTGAACTACATCCTAATCTATAACAGCTAAAGTATTATTTATTTCAAGGCTTTGCTGTTGTTATACTCCTTTAATCTTAACTTTATTAAAATTTTCAAAGTCTCGTAAATTCAAAACTCTGTGCTCGT